CAATTGTTAGTATATTTCCTAACAATTATACTTAAACAATACTCAAGAGTACTATTATTATATTTTCTATAACAATCTCAGCCTATCTTTACATTTCTAGCTCATTAGTATCGATACTCATACCATGGTATTGATACAACTATACTATGGTATCGATACTCTATTACGGTATCGATACTATTTTTTCATTCTGTAATCAATGATATCGATACCTTCCTCACAGTATCGATACCCCCCTTTCAGTATCGATATTGCTTGCATCATTATCGATACTACTCATTTGTTCTTCCTATTTTAAGCTTATAGTATTGGTACTGTTCTATCAGTACCGATACCTATACCCATATTTTCTAGTTTTCAACCCGATTATTATCCAAATTGTGTCAAATTTCCTTATATTTACACCCAACAATACTATTAAATTCTTCTTTACTTATCCATACTGACTTTCCTTCATTTAGCTTCTTAAAACATCTAAACTCTTCCAAGAACATGTAAATCTAAGAATCACACCCCTTTTTCTAACATGTTCTTAATCCTATCCAATGCTTCTAATATCTTATTTACATCTTTGACAAGTCAAATATACTAATAAACATCAGTAAAAACTCATATTCTAACATATCATTCAAAAACCCATTTCCTTATATCTCCAATATTTCATCAATCTCTTAGTTTTGATCTCATTTAATCATTCCTTAAGTTTCTATCATACTTAATGCTTCAAAAACCAACAAAAAATGAAAGAATAAACCATCAAATTAAAATATCACCTTTAGCTATGGAAGAGAGCTTCCCACATGAAAGAAGAAGAAGAAAAGAGTTAACCCAATTAACCTCCTTTTCCCCTTATTTCTTTACTTTAATTCATTATAAAGAATGAATTTTAAATTCATTTTATTCCAAATGACCAAAAAAACCCTTTTAATCATCCCTTGTTACAATTTAGTCTAAACCACTAATCCAAATCATTTCTCATCTTTTATTATTTAATCACTTAAATCCTCAATTTTTAAATCTTTTTCAATAAAGTCTCTAATTCGATATTTGGGGCCGTTTGTTAGAAGGGGAAGACCCACGTATTGTGCCTTTGGTCTATGTAAATTTTTGGGTTAGAGTTCTTGATGTCCCTTTGGGGAAGACGACAGAAAAAATGTCCAAAGCTTTTGGAGATTTTATTGGTGTTTTTGTTGAATATGACTCAAAAATAATGTTACAGGGTATGACATAGTTATGAGAATTTGGGTGAAGGTTGATGTTCGACATGCCTTGAAACGGAGAAAGAAGATGCTGTTGAGGAATGGATATTTTTATCATGTCAAATTTGTATATGAGAAGTTGACCCTATTATGCTTCCTCTATGGTAAGTTAGGCCATGGAGAAAGTTTCTATCCCATCAGGGAAACTCATAGAGGAAAGAATCTTTATTTGGGGTGTGATCTATCGACCTCACAAAGCGGCTATTCCGACGAGTATTTGGCTGAGGGAGGCGACTCAGATGAACAAGCAGTTTCCAAATGTACAATCAGACGAGAATCAGGGGTGCTCAAAATAAGGAAAATTTTGAGCCTACAATTAGGGAGAAGGAATTCCCTAATTCAACGGTTCAAATTAGTGTGCATGCTCAACCTAAGGAACCAAATCCAAAATGTGGGTTGTCTGATTTAAATGTGGATATGGTGAATAATGGAGCTAATCTGGGTTCGTCAGCAAATATGTATCTTTTTTATTGTGACACAGTAATAGGCCAGGAGGAAATGGAAGACCCAGAGGTTACGGTTTCAAAAAGAAAATAACCCAGACATCAGTCTCAATCACAGTTTGTTACTAGTTCTTTCGGTTTACCTGTTTTTGACAAAGAATATGTTATGATTCAAAATTCAGAAATATATGAAGAACTGGATAATCAAGCCAGCCGGGAACAATGAAAATGCTATGTCGGAATGTTTGGGGCAACCCCGAGTGGTTAGGCATCTCAAGCATGCTCTTAGAGATGCAAACCCCTCTGTAATTTTCTTGTGTGAAACAAAATTACAGAACTTCAGGATGGAAAAGGTGTGAAATAGTTGTGGTTTTCCTAACGGTATTAAGGTGGCAGTAGTTGGAACGAGGGGAGGTTTGTGCATGGCGTGGAAACATCACTGTATCACTGTAAGATATCTCTTATTTTTTTTTTTTTTTTTTTACAAAGACATATTAATGTGTTTATTGATGAGTATTCAGATGGAAAACGATAGAGGTTCATGGGCTTTTATGGGGAACCAGATGACTGCCAAAGAGAAGCTACATAGAATTTCCTTTGTGATCTTAATTTCGATCAGTACATTCCTTGGTTGGTCATCGGCAACTTCAATGAGATCTTATTCACCCATGAGAAGCGAGGACGGCTTATTAGAAGATATATCCAGATGGAAGCTTTTCGTTCTTCCCTTACGGACTGTGATCTTAAAGACTTAGGTGCTGTTTGTTTTTATTGTGCAAGCTCTTCAAACACTTATGTCTGTGTCGCGCAGACATTAGGCTTCACAAACTATTTGATTTTTAGAAGACAGAAACTCTTCAAACGTCTGCACGAGCTCTTCTTGGTGTAGATATGGTTTTATGTTTTTAAAGGTCTTCAAACCTCTTCAAGAACAATTATAAAATATAATTATTTATTAAAATAATTTTAAATAATTTGATAAGGTTATTTATTTTAAAATAAATTATTATAAAATATGGATTGATTTATTTTAAAATGATTTATTTTAAATAATTTATTAGTATGAATTGATTTGTTTTAAAATATGGATTGATTTATTTTAAATAATTTATTATTGTAGTTGTATGGATTATTTAAATTTCAGTATTGTAAAACTAAAATTATTTAAATCTCAGTATTGCAAAACTCTTTTAAGTTTAAAAAATCAGTTTATTTATATTTCAGTTCATTTTAGCATTCTGCAGATGTTAAAAAACAAACAGTCTTCTTCTTGCAGACTACAGACTTTTGGTCCACCTCTTCTGCTGCAGATGCCTGCAGATGTGGTCCGCAGATTGCAAACCTTTTACCTCTGCAAAAACAAACACCACCTTAGGCTATTTGGGTCATTGGTTTACTTGGGAAAGGGGCAACTTTGAAGCTACAAACATCAGAGAAAAGGCTTAATAGAGGGGTAGCAAATAACCATTGGTGGAATTTATTTGCTCACTTTCGTCTGGATCATTTATCTCACATCTTGTCCGATCACTATCCCATTATGTGCAACACAATAGCCATGGACCCTAGGAATCGAACCTTTTTTCACTTTCATTTTGAAGTTGTTTAGCTTACGGAGGAGTCATGTACTGAGGAAGTTACACAAGTTCGCTGCAAAAAAAATTACAATTTGTAAGCGCGAGTTTAAAAAGGTGGTTTCGAAGATTAAGACATGAGAAAAGGTTTTCTGAGAATGAGTTGAAGAAACATCTTAGCCAGCTTAATTCGGCCCAAGTCTGAGATGACATCTTAGACGAAATCATTGAAACAAAATTAGCTTTGAATCTTGAAGCAGATCGTGAAGAATTATTTTGGGAGCAGTATGCGAGGGCTAATTGGTTAAAACATGGCGATCGAAAAATGAGTTATTTTCATAATTTTGCTTCTCAACGCCGACATAGAAATCGTATCAAAGGCCTCCACGATCAGCAAGGAAATTTCCACCAAGAGGATGTTGATATTTGTTGCATTGTTAATGATTATTTCTTAAATCTTTTCCCTTCTTAGGGATTGGTTCTCTCAAATACAATTCTGGACAACGTGAGCCCATGTGTTACCCTGACCATGAATAACGAGCTTATTAAAGATATTTCTTATAAGGAAGTGACCTTGGCTGTTAAATCCATGCATCCACTTAAGGCCTCAGGTCCAGATGGCTTGGTGTGGTTTTCTATAAGAAATTCTAGCATATCGTTGGCAGAGATGTTCAGATTTTATGTTAATCTATTTTGAGAGGGAGAATCATATCTATGGGATCAACAAGACTCATATTATCCTTATTCCAAAGGTTAATTATCCGTAGGCAATGACTTCTTCTATGCCAATAAGCCTTTGCATCGTCATCTACAAAATCTTTTCAAAGGTTCTTGCCAATATATTCCAAAGAGTTCTTCATAATTGTATAGATGAGGCTTAGAGCGCTTTTGTTCCAGGCTGGTTGATATCGGACAATATCCTTCTTGCTTATGAGGTCTTGCACCCCCTTTAAGAACAAGAAATATGGTTGGAAGGGATCCTTCGCCTTGAAACTTGACATAAGTAAGGCTTATGATCGTGTTGAATAACACTTCATTAGAGCTATGCTGCTTTGTATGGGCTTCTCTTTTATTTGGGTTAATTGGATCATGAATTGTATTTAATCTGTTTCCTGCTCAGTGTCAATCAATGGTATTCTGGGAGATACATTCCATCTATCGTGTGGGTTGAGACAAGGCAACGCCATAAGCCCTTATTTATTCCTTATTTGCACGAAAGGTTTAACAACTCTCCTTAATAATTTTGTTTCTCAAGGAAGTCTATCTGGCATCCGTGTCTCTCAGAGTGCGCCCCTTCTTACCCATCTTTTGTTTGCAGACGACTATTTAACTTTTAAGGAGGCATCTACTGTGGAAGTTTAAACATTAAAAATCTCTTTTAAATCTACGTGCAGCGTTCCTGGAAGCTTGTAAACTTTGAAAGATCAGAGGTGTTTTTTTGGATCGAACGTGAACATCTCTATCGAGGAAGATATAAGACATGTTAGAGTTGAATATTTTTGATTGCCCAAAAAAATATATGGGTCTTCCTGGTGTTGTTGGGCGAAATAAGCTTTGTGCTCTTGCAGCTTTGGTGGATAAATTTGAAGGTAAGATAAATAGTTGGAGCTCTTATCTCTATGTGTGGAAAAGAGGTCTTTATTAAGTATGTCCTCAAAGCTTTGCCCCTCTTTTCCATGTCCTGTTTCCTGCTCCCTAAGACTCTCTGCAATAAGTTTGATTCTATCATGGCTCGCTTCTGGTGGTCCCATAATAATACTAAAAGAGGGGTTCATTGGTGTACATGGTCTAGTTTAAGCGCTTTGAATGATGAAGTTGGGATGGGATTTAGAGATATGGGAAAATTTAACTTTGCTTTGTTAGCTAAGCAAGGCTGGAGGCTCATTTATAATTCGGATTCCCTTGCGGTGCGTGTTTTTCGAGCCAAATATTACCCATCTTTCACCTTCTCTAAAGCTCGTTTGGGCTCCAACCCCTCTCTGATTTGGCATTTGTTAATGTTGGTATTTTTTTATGTTGGATTTGTTGGCATTTATTGGAGAATAAGCACGGGAGATTTGGAGTCTATTTGGAACAATTACTGGCTCCCAGGAAATGATAAGATAAAGATTTCTACGGAACCAGTTGAGGGATTAAATTTTATAGATGATATGATGAATCAAAGTGAAAGATCCTGGAATTTGGGTCTTCTAGAATCTAATTTCTTGAGGGAGGAGGTCGATAGGATTAAGATGATTCGTATACCTTCCTCGATCATCAGGGATTTGCAGCCCTGGAGTGGGGAAAGAACGGGACTATACATCATTCGTAGCCAATGTATGATGCCCTCTGAGGGTAATTTGGTGGATTCGAACATCAAAACCACTTTAAACAAGCTGTGGAAGATTGACTACCCAGGTAAGGTGCGTATTATTCTATGGAAAATTTTAAATAATTTTTTGCCTACTTTCCATAATCTTTTTAGCAAGAGAATATCCCAAAACTCTTTTTGCCCAAGGTGTCCCCATCATACTGAATCTGATATTTATGTTGCTCACGATTGCCTTTTCGCTCGAAACGTGTCGCATTATCTTGGTTTCACTTGGACTACTAATGTGATAGCCTTAAGCTATATGGAGTGGTTCGAATGAATAACAATTAATTTGGAAAAAAATAAAACAGTGGCAATCACAATATGGGCTCTTTTGTTCTCAAGGAATAGACTCGTTTATGAGGGTAAATATCAAAGTCATGCGGATCTTAAGTCTTTGACAAGATCTCTTAGCCATCCGAATCTGAACTCATCGTCTTTGTGGAGCCCCCTTTGGATCCCTTGGTGAAAGTTAATGTGGATGAAGCTTACCTAAAAAATTCACAGATAGCCAGTTCTGAGTGTGTTGTAAGAGATCATGATGGACAAATTTTGGGTTCTTGTTATAAAAGCTCTTACAATGTTGAATCAGCCTTTTTTGCTGAAGGCTGAGGCAATCGCTTTCCTGCATGGTTTTATTTTTGCACAGGAATTGGGTTTCCATCTTCTGGTAGTCGAAGGTGATGCTCAGAATATCATGGAGAGATGTAGATCGACTGAAATTGATCTATCTGAAATCAGATCCTATATAGAGAATATAAAAGCGAAAAGAGCTCAGATCAGTTTTTTCTTTTAAAGTAAAATATACCATTATTATCCATTCTACAATAAAAATACATTTACATAAAATAAAATTAACTTCAATACATGTTGGAAATGTTGAAACAAAAGTTCATCAACATATCTTGCATCAATGTACGTCGGCTTTTTCTTTTTAAGTAAACTATATCATTAACCACTCAACTATTTAACTCTTTTAATTTTATCACTAATATTTTAATTTTATCAATCAAACTACTAAACTATTTAATTTTTATCCATCAAATCATTTGCCATTAACATTTAACAGATTAGTTGACATGGCATTTAAATATTTTGATATAATCACACATTTAGTCACTATTATTTACATATTTTCTCAATTTGTCTTACTAGTAATAAATTAAAATAAATTTAATAATTGAATTGTTACACTCTAGACTTGGCCTGTGAATTATACCCGAATCGAAGATATCACATTAGTCCACCAAGGTGAACCCATACTTTCTGACTTCAAAATACAAGATTTATTCAAAATTTTAAAATAATTATAAGATCGAAACTCCTTTATTCTAAAATTAAATATAAAATAAACCAATAATTAATTTATTTATAATACAATCCGAATAATAAAGACAACCACAACCTCTACATGCCCATACAAGTAGTCTTCATCGTACACCAGTACTTCCACTGAGATTCCTCTAACGATATTGTTGACCCATCGCTATCCATAAATCTTGTAACCTAAAATGGTAATAGTTCGAAGAGTGAGCTAACAAGCCCAATAAGTACATAACTTCTTTAACATATTTCAATAGATCCATAAATAATAAAGCATGCAAGTCATGTGTGAGCATATAGGCCATCAACGTAGCATCAACAGTCGAGTAACTAATCTAAAGGCTCAACTTACTAAAGTTTATAGCATCGACAAAGGCATATCTTAAGATACTATCTATCTATATATATCAAGTACTATGCACCAACCAACTAAGTTGTCTCAATCATTCGACATTCATAATTGCTAGAGTGAGTGCCATGATTTAACTTGAATCACATAATAAGATCATTCTCGTAGTTAGGTGTGTACCCCGTGTGATACATCACATTCTCTCAATACTATAATTAGGTGCTTTTGTGCAAGTCACCAAATATAACAATTGTGCTAACCGGTTTTCGTCCGGGCACGAAATATTTATTTGGCGGGAAAATTGATGTGAATAAATGGTTTTGAAAATAATTTGGGAGTCGCCATCGGCCTTTTGGGTCAGGTAGGTCGAATACCTAAAAAATATCTTTTAAAAGAGTTTTTAAGAAAACATCAATTAAAAGATAAATTGATCTGCGTTTTAACCAAAAATTCGTTCTTTTTAATAATAAAAAGGGATTCGTGGTCGGTTACGTTTAGGGAAGGATTAGCACCCCTACAACGCCCAAAATTGGTACTTTTTAATTATAAATTGTCTCTATTATTATTAATTTAAAAATTCAAAGATATATTTAATTCATAATTCTACTATTTCAAATAATTTTAATAAAATATATTAATATACATAAATAAGATATTTACTTATTTAGAAATATTAAAAAATGGCTTCTAAGTATCTTAAGACAGCTCTTTTCTTTGATATTAATAAATGAAAATAAATATTAAAAATGTAATAAAACTAAATTATAATTTTTATAATATTTAGTTATTTAAAATACCAGAATAGGACATCCAGTTATATTAAGACTGCCCTTTTCTTTGATATTGAAAATAAATAAACATTATTAAATAAATAAATAAATAATATATATATTTATAATATAGTAAAACAATAATTAAAGTAATGATTTAAAATATATTAAAAAATAATAAAAATTAAATTAAGTTAAAATATAACTAAACAATGACTAAAATAAATAATAATAAATGTAAAATTATTTAAATTAATGAACATAATTCGAATCATCATAAAATAAAATTACTAATAGTGTAATTAACCCTTAATTAATTAATCAGTGATTAAAATAAAATTTATCAAAGTTTAAAGGCTCTATCTCGAATAAATAAAAATTCTAAGTGCTAAAAATGTAATTTAGCCTTATTTAATTAATCGGGTTAAAATAAATGTTAATAAAATTATAAGGTACTAAATTAGTTATTTACCCTAAATATATATATAAACTGATAATGACTAAAATGTAATAAAATAAAATTGAATGACATAATTAAAAGAATCAAAAATTGCTTTTAGTGACTAAATTGAAAGGTATACAAATTTGGAGCACCGCGGACGGGGTTTACCCTTTATGAAATTACAGAAATACCCTCCCCAAAACGACGTCGTTTGGGGAAGGTTTTAAATACCCAATCGGCCGGCCCTTATGTGCCATCTTCCTCATTTCTTTCTTTTCTTTCTTTCTCTGAGAGAGAAAACTCTCTCTGCTCTCTCTAAACTCTCCCCCGGAGAGAGAGCTGACCACCGACCGGCAACCATGATCCGCCGCAAGTTCCGCCGCCAACCACCGCCTCCGGTGGTCGAAAATTCCCAAATTTACCTAAAATATAGATCTAAACGCTCTAAGACCGATTCCGGTCTTTGTTTTCCCTAAAAACCCTTAGATTCTTGTAGATCTAATTTTTTTTACCTTCGAAAAATGAGACTCCTGTGACGCTTGGGATTTCTGGCAATGAGCGAGGCTTCAAGGGTAAGTTCCTCTTCTTCTCTTCGTTTCTGTTTTGGTCTGGTTGTTGGTTGCTGTTCGTATCTCTCCCTTTTTTGTTCTCTCTTCGTCTGTTTCTCTGTTGTTCTCCGTTGCTCTCTATCTGTCTTTCTTGCAGGTGTGGTGGCTTTTATAGCCACCACCGAGGCTCTCGTCGGACCGGACAATAGAGGGTCGAGTTTGGTGAGTCACCATAGCTATGGTGGTGACTCACCATAGAGCTCGACGTGGGCGGCTGTTATCGTTGCAGCAGAGCTTCTGGAGTCTTCTGTTGGAGTCATCGTGGCACTGAAGCGTCGGCAAGGCGGCTGGAACTCACTGGAACTTTAGAGCGGCGGTTGGGATGTGGCCACGTAGAAACTAGGGTTTAGAAACCCTAGCTGCATCGTGTTGGACCTCCTGTGGACCGTTGGATCTCTCAGATCCAACGGCTGTGATGATGGGGCGGCTAGAGATGATACAAACCCTAAATTGGGTTTAGGGTTTAGATGGGCCAGTTGGCTGATCGGGCCTCTTTGTTTGGGTTTGTAAATTGGGCCTGAGGGTCTTTTGGGCTTCTGATGTAATTTGTAATATATATATATTTAATAATAAATAATAATAATAATATTATATTAATAATAATTATAATTATTATTATGAAAAAATTAATGTCTACAGTTACCCCTCTTTGCTCATTCTTGTGTTAACAAGAATAGAGTAAAGACGAAAAAGACAATAATTTTTCATTCGGCTTATTTTAAGTAATATGGAAATATTGAAAACATTCTGCCCAGAGGTCTTATGAATGACCCCGAGGGTTTAAAAACATCAAAAAGCTCCCGAAGGCTTTTTGGAAACATCATGCACTGCAGGACTTACAGATGACCCTGAGGATTTGAAATCATCAAAAAGCTCCCGAAGGCTTTTTGGAAACATCATGCACTGAAGGACTTACAGATGACCCGAAGGCTTTGAAAACATCAAAAAGCTCCCGAAGGCTTTTTGGAAACATCATGCACTGAAGGACTTACAGATGACCCGAAGGCTTTGAAAACATCAAAAAGCTTCTGAAGGCTTTTTGGAAACATCATGCACTGAAGGACTTACAGATGACCCAAAGGCTTTGAAAACATCAAAAAGCTCCTGAAGGCTTTTTGGAAACATCATGCACTGAAGGACTTACAGATGACCCAAAGGCTTTGAAAACATCAAAAAGCTCCCGAAGGCTTTTTGGAAACATCATGCACTGAAGGACTTACAGATGACCCAAAGGCTTTGAAAACATCAAAAAGCTCCCGAAGGCTTTTTGGAAACATCGTGCACTGAAGGACTTACAGATGACCCGAAGGCTTTGAAAACATCAAAAAGCTCCCGAAGGCTTTTTGGAAACATCATGCACTGAAGGACTTACAGATGACCCAAAGGCTTTGAAACATCAAAAAGCTCCGAAGGCTTTTTGGAAACATCATGCACTGAAGGACTTATAGATGACCCGAAGGCTTTGAAAACATCAAAAAGCTCCCGAAGGCTTTTTGGAAACATCATGCACTGAAGGACTTACAGATGACCCAAAGGCTTTGAAAACATCAAAAAGCTCCCGAAGGCTTTTTGGAAACATCATGCACTGAAGGACTTACAGATGACCCGAAGGCTTTGAAAACATCAAAAAGCTCCCGAAGGCTTTTTGGAAACATCATGCACTGAAGGACTTACAGATGACCCGAAGGCTTTGAAAACATCAAAAAGCTCCCGAAGGCTTTTTGGAAACATCATGCACTGAAGGACTTACAGATGACCCGAAGGCTTTGAAAACATCAAAAAGCTCCCGAAGGCTTTGAAAACATCAAAAAGCTCCCAAAGGCTTTTTGGAAACATCATGCACTGAAGGACTTACAGATGACCCAAAGGCTTTGAAAACATCAAAAAGCTCCCGAAGGCTTTTTGGAAACATCATGCACTGAAGGACTTACAGATGACCCGAAGGCTTTGAAAACATCAAAAAGCTCCCGAAGGCTTTTTGGAAACATCATGCACTGAAGGACTTATAGATGACCCGAAGGCTTTGAAAACATCAAAAAGCTCCCGAAGGCTTTTTAGAAACATCATGCACTGAAGGACTTACAGATGTGAGAAATAGTTTACTAAGTAAAAAAACTAAG